AGAACAGCAAAAAGAGCTGAAGTCACTGAAATCCAAAAGTGAAAACTGTCAGTGACAACCACGGAGACCAAGAGCTGGTTCCTCATAAAGATCAAGAAAGAAGGTAGAGGGATAGAGATGGGAAGAGGAAGAAGAGATCGGGAGATGGAGGGGGAGCAGAGAGAGAGATTAGGAAAGGGAATGGGAGAAAGAGAGAAACAGTACCAACAGTGAAAGATTCTTGACTATTGATCCCAAAGTCACTAAAAGGCTAATAATAAGGGAATGCCAACAGTGCTGTGCCTATGAATTTGACAGTTTAGATGAGGGTCAGTTCCTTGAAAGAGATAACCTCAAAACAAATTCAAGAAAAAGCAGATGACTTTAATGGGCCTAAAACTATTTTTTTTTTAAATCAAATGGATCTTTAAACAGTAGCAACAGCTGCAAATGAAATTTAAAATAAAATTCACAATGCCATTAAAACCCCAAATATTGGGGCTGGAGAGATGGCTCAGTGGTTAAGAGTGCTGACTGCTCTTGCAGAGGACCTGGGTTCGATTCCCAACACCCACATGGCGGCTATGAACCATCCTTAACTCCAGTTTCAGAGGAATCTGAAGCCTTCTTCTGACTTCTGGTGCTTTGCACGACACAGGCGCACTCACATACATGCAGGCAATGCACATGTACACATAAAATAAAAATAATAAATAAAATATTTTTTTTTAATTTAAAAAACCAAATATTTAAGAATAAATTTAATGAAAGATTTCTAAGATTTCTATGTAAAAACTATAAAGCATAACTAAACGATGTAAGAAATCTTAAATAAATTAAAACTACCACAACAAAAAAACATTAAATGATATATGAAAATGAAAGGTAAAAACTATAAAGCATAACTAAACGATGTAAGAAATCTTAAATAAATTGTGTCAGTTATGCATTCCTCCCAAGTTAATCCATAAATCTGATTCTTTTTCAATCAGAGAATCCCACCAGGCTTTTGTGTATGTGTAGAAACTGACATATGGATTTCAAAATGTTTCTGTAAAATCAAAAGGTGAAGAATGGGCATAACAATTTTGAAGGGAGAGCACGGTGAGAACACCTACCGTAGCTGATTTTAAGACAGCAACGAGGAAAGTAGTCGAGGAATGAAAATGAATGTATGGAACAGGAGGGCAAAGACCCAGAAACACCCACACCTATCTCATCAGCTCAGTTTTGACAAAGCTAATAGAATTACACAGGTGAAAGAAATTTTTTAAACAGATGGTACTAACAAGATAGCCACACAGGTAAAAAAACAAAAAACAAAAAAAAAAGCTCTGGCTTTTGTCACATCACACAAGGAATCAATTTGCCATAGATTTTAAAGCAAAATGCTAGCTCGACTTTCAAAAATAAAAAATTCAAAGAGCACTTGGTTGCCTAAGACAGGAGGATCTGCAGTTCGAGGCTAGTTAGCTACGTAACAGGGAGCCAATCAGAGTTACACAGTGAGACTGTCTCACAAAATTAATTATTTCTAAATTAATTAAATTTTAATTTTAGTTAATTAAACACATCAGGAGAAAAAAGAAAGCCTTCATCATGCTGGGATAAGCAAAGAATTCTTAGACAGAAAGCCATGTACTATCTTTTTTGATGGTAAACTGGGGGCTGGAGAGATGGCTCAGCAGTAAATAGCACTTGCTAGTGATCTAGATGACCCAAGTTCAGTTCCCAGCACCCACAATGCGTGTCTCACAACAGCCTGTAACTCCAGTTCCAGGCAATCTGACACCGTCTTCTGTCCTCTGAAGGCACCTGCACATATGGCATACACACAGACACACATACATACACATAAATAAAAAGAAAAAAGAAATCTTAAAAATAAATGGTAAACTGGCCAGGTGTGTTTGCACACACCTGTAATCCCGGACTTCAAGGGGCAGTGGCAGGAGGGTCACATGTTTGAGGCCAGCCTGAACTAGATAGTAAGACCACATCTCAGAGAAAGGGAGAGAGGATATGATCATGATATATATCATCATTATATACATGTATGAAATTTTCAAAAAGTTTTTTTTAATATTATTTTTAAAGAAACTAAAGGTCAAGAGTCTAAATTAGTGTAGAGTGTTTACCTAGCATGTACGAAGCCCTGGGTTCAATCTTAAACAGGGAAAAGCCAAAAAAGAAGGAAGAGATAACTTGAATCCAGCCAAAATTAAAACCTCCTTTTCAAAAAATACCATCTAGAAAATTAAAAGACAAAATGTACAGTACAAGAAAATATTCTAAATGAATCTACCTGACCAAGGCATTAATCCAGAATATATAAACCTGGTACAATCAGAAATTAGATAAACACTAATGTAAGACTTTTAAAATATTTTTTACTTATTATTTTTCTTCTGTGCATATAAGTGTATTGCCTGCATGTATGTAGGTGCACCTGTGTTGTGCAATGCCTGTGGAGGTCAGACGAAGGCATTGGACTCTCTTATAACTGGAGTTACAGATAGTTGTTAGCTGCCATGTGGGTGCTGGAAGTCAAACCTGGGTCCTCTGAAAGAACAGCAAATGCTCTTAACCGCTGAGCCATCTCTCCAGCCCCTAAAGTAAGATTTATAAAAATAGATAAAAACTTCAATATTGGGTAAAAGAAGAACCAAATGAGCAATGCACACAGACATAAATTGTGCACAAAAATATTCCATTTTATTTGTGATCAGAGAAAACCAAAATAAAGTCACAGTAAGATACTATTTCATACTTACCAGAATGGCCAAAATTAAAAAGACTCACAAAATGATCAGTGACAATGTCAGCAATCGATCTTCCCTTCCTTCTGAGAAGATGGTTGGTTTAGAAAGCAATTTGGCTACCACACTGCTAGATGTGGAGTAATGGCTCAATCACTCTGTTTCTAGGTATTTTCCACAAGAAATGAAAACCAACCACAAAAACACCCTTTACACAGATTGTAAGAGCCAGAGGTTGGGTAGGACTGCTGGGGATCAGTGTCTCCTGGACATCACTAGGCCATGATAATGAACTCACATCAACTGTGGTTGCCTGTACAAGATCAAGCCACTACTCAACATTCCACCAGACCCCACCCATACCTGGAGCTATTGACAGCTGATGGCTGTTGAGGAGTCCATCTTCTTTGGGGTCGTGGCACCTGGTTGATTGGCCACACTCCAGTGGATGGCCCTGCACCCCTGCACATAGGAACAATGCTAATTGCAATCAATGGGTTTTTTTAAAGGGGGAGAGAGAGAGAGAGAGAGAGAGAGAGAGAGAGAGAGAGAGAGAAACTAATGTGGGAGGGGGTCCAGGAGAAGTTGGAATGAGAAGGGGAGGAAGGTATAAATATGATCTAAATATGTTCTATACATATTTGAAACTGCCAAAGAAAAATTACCAAAAAAGACATTAAAATAGGGTCTAAGGACATCACTCAATTAGTAGAATGCTTGTCTAGCATGCAAGAAGTCCTGGGTTCGATCCCCAACACCACAAAAATCTAGGCATTATGGCTCACATTTGGAATCTCAGCACTTGGGAGGTAGAGGCAAGAGGGTCACACACAAAGAAGTTTAAAGCCATCATGGGCTACATAGCAAGTTTGAAGCCAGCCTAAACTACATGAGACACTATCTATAAATAAACAAACAAACAAATAAATAAATAAATATCCATTACACTAGATTAAAAAGAATATCCTTCAAAATCATTTGTTTGAAGTTCTAGAATCAGTGAGAACTAATTTACAGTGGCAAAAATAAAATCCTAAATATTCTAAGGCAAGTTTTGGGTTTGGACTGAAAGGGAATCCTTGCCAGTCACAGCAGCGATCTGTGCTGTGACTGGATGGTGATGAGGTGCTGTGGTATTTTGTTTGTCTAAATCAACAGCGCTGCATCATAAGATGGATCTGCTTACTGTGCATAAATGATACTACAAGGCTGATATTTTTGCTGGCTCTGGTGGCACACGCTTTTAATCCCAGCACTCAGAAGGCAGAGGCAAGCAGATCTCTGAGTTTGAGGCCAGCCTGGTCTACATAGGGAGTTCCAGGTCACCCAGTGCTATATAGTGCTATATAGTTCTCAAAACAAAACCAAACAAACAAACAAACAAAACTGGTATTTTTAAAATTAGGAAAAATGGCCTCTAGAAATTAATTTCTTCAATATTTGAATTTCTAGCCCTGAGGAAATGCATTTGGCACTGGTGATATAATTCAATAGAATATGACTGACAGTGTTCCACTGGAGTTAGAGGTTACCCCCGCTGTAAATTCCTAATAATATCTCTGTTAAAGACATATTTATCAAGAGATAAATAAAAATAAAAGGCCTTAAACATTCCCAATACTGAGAAACGTTTTAGGGGGAAATTGGACTTTTAAAAAGATGTTGTGGTAAGGTTTGATTTGGTTTGGTTTTTGATTTTTTGAGATGGGGTCTCATGTAGCCCAGGCTAGCCTCAAATTTGATATGTAGTTGAGGATGGCCTTGATCTCCTACCTGTGGCTCCTGAGTGCCAGGCTTATAGGTGTGCACCACCACACTTGGCTAAGTGGTATCCATTCTCAACTTACTGTTTTCTTTGCCCAAGAAGAAAATTATGGACAAAATATCAAATTGCTAATAAATATTTCAAAAAATATTTACATATTTGTATTAAGTAAATATTTCATAGATTTTTTTAAAAATATTTTAAGATCATCTACCAGAAATTTGAAACTTCATTTAATTATTAATTTCTTGAAGAAATCCTTCTTTTCTGTGTGTTCTAATATGTCTGGGTCCTAGCCAAGTTTTTCTTACCCTCTCTTTATAAGAGCCTTTTCTCAGAGTTGTTTGTCTTTAAAATGAGCAAATCAAAGATCACAGATCGTGAGCAGTCATGCCAATACAGTAATTGAGCGGGTATTAAAGCACAATTATGTCATTTCCTCTCCTAATCATTTAATCACCCTGTTTCTATGCTTTTCCCTCTCTGTATTTCACTAGAAATTTAATACATTGGTAGGGGAGAAAGGAGCCCAAATGAGTGGAGGCCAGAAACAGAGAATCACAATTGCTGGAGCTTTAGTTTGAAACCCCAAAATTCTGATCTTAGACAAGGCTACGTCTGCCCTTGATACAGAGAGCAAATCCATTGTTCAAGCTGCACTGGAGAAGGTAAGTGGACAGGATCACTTCTGAGTCCCATGCTCCTGGTTCACTGTTGTTCTCTAGTATAAATAGCATAGATGGGGGGGCAGTCAGTGGGCACCTGCTGGGCTTTCTCGGAGTTCCCAATAAGCTGTACATTCAGGATACGACTTGAAGGAAAAAATAATAAATGCTAGTTGGCATTAAATACACAAGCACACATGTGCATGTCCACAGAAACACACAACTGATATGCAAGCTATCATCCCATCTACCCCCATCCCAGGAGGGCTGTACCTGACCCTCCACAGACCAACAGCTCCTGATCCCAGCACAAACGCGGCCATGTGCGTCTTCTGCTTCTTCCATTCAGAGCAGTGGGATTCTCTTCTCTGACCAGTTTTCTTCTTTAGCAGAGCCCCAAGGGAATTCATGTTAAACACAAATTCACTTCAGGTTGAGAAGCATTGACTTCCATTTGCCCTCCACCAACAGCCCTGGAAACTGCCACCATGAGTGTAAGGGACTTCAGAATGATGGTAACATGGTCCAGTGACCTAGCCTCACTTCTGAACTGCACATATCATTCCTCATTACTAACCTAAATTGTTGTAATCACTGTGTTCCCAGATGGGCTGGCTGACAAGAAATGTGCATGCACACATGCACACACACATCATCATCATCATCATCATCATCATCATCGTTATCATCTATATGCATACATATATATACATATACACAGACTACCCACATATATACATTCCTAACAAATGTGTGACTATGGGGCCAGTGAGATTGCTCAGTGTGTAAAGGCACCTGCTTCCAAATCTAATAATGATTTTGATCTCCTGGACCCATGCAGTGGAAGAACTGACTCCCACATCTTGTCCTCTGACCTCCACATGTATGCCGTGGCACAACTGCACCATGACATATGTCCATCTACATGTACAAAATAAATAAATAGAATAAAGAAATAAATGTGTAGATATCATGTACACATATGGCATTTACAGATGAGTAATTTTTATAATTAAAACTAATGAAAAGATCTGGTAAATGCAAAAGTCTGGCTTTGATGATAGTGTCTCCATGTCTAATCCTATTCCCTAAGCGGTTTTAAAAATTAAATTCCAGTTAGAGTACTCAATATTGGTAGCGACTCTATGGCCATCTGAGACCTGAGTGTTACTCAAGATTGCTCTGTAGCTTTCCAGACCCTGGAGCATAAATCCGCATGTTTCTAAGTGATAACTACATGGCCGCTCTCTTCCAGGTGCCTTGAGAAAGTTCTTTTGTCTCATCCAATTGTGTCATGCTGATATCAGTGGATATCCGGGTTCAGTGGGCACCTGCTGGGATTCCAAGATTCTTATGTCCTGAAACAAGAAATTACAGAGGTGGATAGTAGAAGCAGAGATAGCTTATGGAGAAAAACAAACACTTAAGGGAGGAAGCCGGCCAGAAGCCCTAGGCTCCAGGCCCAGAGGCTGTGACTATGCGTCATTTGCATAGCGTGGACTTTCTTATGCATCTGCATAGCATGGCTTTTTCTTTTTCTTTTATTTATTTATTTATTTATTTTTATTTTATTTTATGTGTATGTGTGTATTGCCTTCCACACTGCATGCAATGCCCATGGAGGCCAAACGAGGGCATTGGATCCCCTGAAACTGCAGTTTTGGATGGTTATTAGCTGCCATGGAGGTGCTGGAACTTAAACCAGGGTCCTCTGCAATGTGGGTGCGAGGATTCGAACCCTGGTCTTCTGCAAGAACAGCCAGTGTTCTTAACCACTGAGCCATCTCTCCAGCCAGCATGGCTTTTTCACATGTGGTTTCTGTTGCATGTCAGTCTTGGTGGTGGCAGAGGGCTTCCAGTCTTCATCTCTGCCAACCAGTTTCTTTCGCCTGCTAATTCTCAGCCCTTGTGGAAGGCCCTTCAGAAGGCATCCTGCCTTATTTTCCTCCTCACTGGTTAGGATAATAATGTAGCTGGTCCTCTCAACATAAATCAAATGTATTACAATGTTTCTTTCTTCAAAAAAGCTATGAAATAGTAGCAAAAGACCCTTAATCACACTATGTACATCCTCCTGAGATGTGCATGCATAGATTACCCATAGGGACAAAGCCTGTTAAACAGAGAACTTGCTTTTCCAGTTGTTTTAGATTTCTTGCTTTTAAACCAAAATACAGTACATTCATATTAAATAAAATTGTGACAATTCAGAAAAATATATCCAATTGGTCTAGTAATTAAATATATGTACTATTAGTAATGTTGACATATCCTATATAAGTCTTTTTTCCTATGGATAGTTTTTAAAACCATGTTATAACAGGATACATGAACTTTTTCCTGCATTTTTCATATGACATTGTATCATAATGTTCTCATTGTTTCTGATTCTTAGCAACTAGTGATTTGAAAAGTTTCCTTTTCTTATAGATGTGGAATACAAGACTTTGAAAGAAACTCATCTCTCTCACTAAGCACATCTATTGCAATAAAGAGACCTTTCAGGGGAGGAGAGAACTACACTGGAGTCTAGTTCCATGTTTTCCAGTGGCTGGTGGAGGCCTGGAAAAGTTCTTCGTTTGCAGAGTTCCAATTTCCCTCTCTGAAACAGGTAAGAGTAAAATTGGGAATGATTAAATTCAATAGTTGTGATACAGTAGTGGTGATGCTAACTGCCCTTTACCATGTGCCTGGAGGGTGCGTGTCACTGTGCTGGGCTTTCTGAGTGGAAAATTCAGAACCCCAAGATGAGCACCACGGCTGTGTGGACTGAAAATGAATCTGGAAGATTCCAACTACTCGCAGCTAGCACAGAGTATTGTTGGTGTACCAACAGGCACACCCAGCAGCAAAATAACAGACACAGTGCAAAAACAGACCCAGAACAGTCTGGCCTCCTCAGGATAAAGGCCGTTCTGTAGTGAAGTGGGAAGGGATTGTCTTTCCAGAGCACTCTGCTCAGACACTCATTTAATTCAAGGGTGACAGTGTACATTGATGTGACATCACGCACAAAAATCAATTCCAGATGAATAACAGGTTTAAACATGAGAGGCACAATAGCAAAAATTGGAGGGTAAAACAGAAAAACCTCTGTGTGATAGTGGGGTAAGAATTTCTTAAGGGGGACACAAAAAGCACAATTAGAAAAGAGGAGCATTGCTAAATAGGACTTCATTAAAATTTGAAGACTTGATTCATCAGAAGACAACGGTGAAAGGGTGAGGAGACAGCCGCATATGCAGAAGAAACAGCTAATCCGTAGTCTCTCACAAAGACCCCAGAACTAGACTCTATAAACAACTCCTGAAAATTGACAGGAAAAAAGCTCTCAAAGAAAAATGAGCAAAAGATCTGGGCAGTTCACGAGAGAGAGTATTCAAATTTGAGCTAACCAAATGGAAAAGCATTCAACTTTATTAGTCCCTCAGGAAATACAAATAAAAGCTACCAGGTGATAGCACTCATCTGTCAGGCAAAACAGACATACTAACCATTGGTATGACTACAGTACAGCCTGCATTCTCTTGGTCTTCAGGCACTCTCTAGACTGGAAGAGCCCCCTGGAAGACTGGCAGGACCTAGCAAGGCAAAACATGTGCACTCTGTGCCTCGGGAGCCCTTTCTAAGGTGTTCACTGCTAAAGTTATATACATGTGTTCACTAAATAAGCACGTACAAGAATCTATGCATAAAAACCCCTAAAGACTACTCCGGCCCAGTCAGAAGTAGAATGGATAGATTGTATTCATGTAGAAGACTCGCTACATAGTAATAAGAAACAAAATGGTTAATCTAAAAACATAATACTGAAACAAATTCTCAGACACAGAATACAGACTGCCTGATTCCATCTACATAAAACAGAAAAAAATCATGGCCAGTGCCGTTGGGAATGAGAGGGTAGTGACCTTTGGTGGGTGAGTCTGCACACAACTAGTTGAAGGATAGGCCCATTTCAGAAATGACAATGAGTTTGTTACTTTAATGCTTTCTGCTTCTATGGTTAACTGGAGAGCTCAGAAATTCCTGCTGGGCTTTTTTTCTAGTGCTAAGATACTATGGTTTTAATGAAAAGCACCTATTTGGAATCACATTAACTCTTTTTATTATAATTTCTACTGGCCTTCCTAATTCTATTTCTATATCCAAAGGTAAGAGTCATTAATATGTAAAATAATAATGCAAAAATAAGTTTTTCTGACTATTGTAGAGGTTATTTCTAACACTATTCAATATGTACACAAAGGTCAGACTACAGTTGTGATAGCACATCGGCTCTCCACTGTCCACAGTGCAGATCTGATTGTGACTATGAAGGACGGTGTGGTGGAAGAAAAAGGGACCCACTCTGAACTAATGACAAAACGCGGGCTGTATTACTCACTCACAATGGCACAGGTAGTGTTTGTAGGATTTCATGTGTGGGGCGTTTCATTTTCAGAGAGAAGACCACACTAAAAACAGAAGTGCCAAACTGTTAAGAGTTTTAAATTTCACACACCAGGGCCAGGGTGGTGGTACAAGCTTATATGCTCAGTACTTGAGAGTCAGAGGCAGGAATATTATGAGTTCAAGGCCAGCCTGGACTACATAGGACTACCATGTCTCAACTACAAATTGGTATCAAGGAATGTGGCAAATTCACAACCAGTTGCTTAGATTATGATCAGAACACAAAGTAGTATAATGTACAATCCCTATAAAGATTTAAAACTTAGCTACAGAGCCAAAATCATGCATGCAGATACTGCAAGTTATAGAAATAAGCAGCAAGACTAAGCAAAAGGGAGTTATATTATCCAAGGAAGAGCCTAGAAGGCCGGAAGGTAGGAGGGGAGGAGAAAGCAGATGAAATCCAGGAAGACGAGAATCCTGCACAGAGATTTTTCTTTTAAATCAAAAACTTGGTGTGCAACTAAAACAGAAAGATCAGTCCTACATGTGTAAGATGAGCATTGGGAGAATAATTGAAGATTGGACAATAAGGGGCAGATCCTGGAAGTTCTTGGAAACCAGGGAAAAGTATTGGGATTTAAAGTGTGGAAAGTGCCTGACACTGCCTGGCACACAGTGGAAGTCAATAAACATCTGCCGAATGGAAACACACGCACATGTGCATGAACACACAAACACACACACACGCTTATGCTCCATATATATACATGCTCATGTGTGGAATGGATAGCTCAGACAGGGCTAGGGTAAAGTGGCCAACTCCCATTTTGAGGACCCACATGTCTGCATGCCATGAGATCTGACTAGGTTTCCATAACTCCTTCATTAAGGCAGATCAAGCGACATGAGAGGTATTAAGCCCAAGCATATTTCAAATCTTAGACAAGTTCAGTGAAGTCACAAGGACTCATTCTTGACTTCTGGACACACTTATTTACCCACTGTTGCCTGTACTATCAAAATAAATCATTTTGAAGATCCATGATGATCCATATGGAGATGTTACTATTCTAAGAAAATTATGAGGGCAAGGGATATGGCTCAGTGGGTAAAGCACTTGCTCTAAAAATGTGAGGAACCGAGTTCCAATCCCCACTCATGTGGGAGCTCTTCTGTAATTCCAATGGAGACAGGAGTCTCCAGAAAAAGCTGGCTAGGTAGACTAGCCATATTGGTGATCCTTAGGTCAACTGAGAGACCTTGCCTTAATGAATAAGGTGGACAGAAATTGAGGAAGACTCCTGATGCTGGCCTCGGGCCTCCACATGCACACACATACATGTGTATTCACAACCTCAAATATGTATGTGTTTACACACCTGTGAACAAGCATATGCATACACATGCAAAAAAGGAAGGAAGGAAAGAAAAGAAAAGAAAAGAGAAGAAAAGAAAAGAGAAAAGAAAAGAAAAGAAAAGAAAAGAAAAGAAAAGAAAAGAAAAGAAAACAAAAGAAAAGAAAAGAAAAGGAATGAAAACAAAAGAAAAGAAATAAAAATAGGGCAAGGGGGATGGCTGAGCAGTTCAGAGTACTGAGCACTTCCAGAGAAAAGAAAAGAAAAGAAAAGAAAAGGAATTCTGAGACGCAGCATAGCAAAGTACTGAGGTTTGAGCTCTGCAGTCACTACAAGGTGATTCAGCAAGGTACCAGCTTTAGGGCCTGGAACAAATAACTTAAATTCTTTGTGCTTCAATTTCCTAATGCCTAACATGGAGAAAATAATTAACTATTGTAAGTATTAAATAAACTAATTCATATAAAGTATTTATAATTATTGTTTATGTAAAATGTTATTGCATTATTATTATCAGCATTAATGTTATCCAATCAAACTTCACAAAAAGAAGTTTAAATCATAGCAATTAATGTAATGATTTATTTAAGTTGTAAATGAGAATATATAGACATATTCTTTGGCATGATTCCATGTGTATATGAAGTAAAATCAGTTACAGATAGAACACATACACATAAAACTATTGCCAACATTAATATTTTTTAGAATGTCCTATTCTTTAACAATTTCATACATGTATGCATTGTATCTTGATCATGTCCACCCCAAACTTCCCCCTTCCACTCCCCCTGGACACTCCCAACACATCCTCCTACCATCTTTATGTCCCCTCCTTTTCTTCTAACTCACTGAGTCCAATAGTGTGCCTGTTGGACTACTGACTAATCTTGTTGGCTTGATCTTACTCAGGTCTTGTGCAGGTAATCATGGCTGCAGGGAGTTCATTAGTACAATAGCCATATCATGTCCAGAAGACAGCATTTCATAACAGTCCTCCCCATCTCTGGCTCTTACATTTTTCCCCTCCCCCATCTTCTGTGATGTTCCCCAAGCCTTAGCCGAGCTAATACCGATGTCACATTTAAGACTGAGCACTCAATAGTCATTCTCAGCACTTTGGCCTGTTATGAATCTCTGCATTAACTGCTGCCCATGGCAGAAGCTTCTCTTACCAAGGCTGAGTTCAACACTATGAGTACGAACATAAATATTTAGAAAGTACTTTGATGCCATGTTCACTTAACAAAACAACAGTAGGTTAGCCCTTAGGGCCTCAAATTTCTCCTAATCCATGGGTTTTGACCAGGCTTATAATACCAGCATGGGTTCCCTCCTATGAGGCAGGCCTCAAATCCAAGCAGAAAGCAGTTAGTTACCCCCATAATCTTCATGCCACTGTTGCCTGGCAGACCACTATTGCAATATTCAGAATTCACTGCTGGCTAAGACCATTGATGACTTTCTCCCCTGCAGCCTACATAGTACTTTCCAGCACTGTGAAAACTAACTAGTGGGAGAAAATTTTCAGGTTAGTTCCAACTTGAGTTCTCTGTGTCTTGCAACTAGATTGTATTGTGTATTTTATCAACAATAGGATGTTATTATCTAGTCCGGGTGGGCAACTGAGAGCAACAACAACAGCCTGTGCTGTTTTGAAGATATCTGGAGCCTCCTTGACCAATGTGGAGGTGCCTGGCACTGAGATTTTCATTTAATAACCCACCTCTAGGAGCAGTATCACTTGTGCTTGCCCAGGCAGGATACCTTTGTCCAAACTTCTTTATTTTATTATGCTTTAATTAGCTTATGAGATGGTGGAGTTTCATAAATCTTCGCACATCCTTAGTTTTGGAATCCCATCCCTAACCACTTCCTCTTCTTTGTGTCTTTGCTCCCATCCCTGCTTAAACCTTTAACCCACAGTATCCCCCACTACCACCACCGTTATTATTTGTCTACCATACTCCTTGGGGAAATCATTGTCTTCTACTTAATAGAAATCCTTCTTAGAAAAACTTACTATGAGAAGTCAAAATTTTATTTTAAATTTGCAGCGTGAGTCCTGGAAGAAAAAAAAAAGCCAAAAAACGATTTCTTTCATGGTGGAAAAATAGCAGAAAAGATGGTAATGGTATGAAGGAATGTCTGGTTAAAAGTGACTGTACCTTTACCTGACTGATTAGCAGTTCTTTAGCTTGTCAAAGAGTCAAGAGTGTCCCTGGAAAGTGTTCTATGTGGACATGTCCCTTGCCCACCTCATCCCACCTCCATCCCCCAGTCTTTATTCCCTTTCTCCTCAGCTGCTGTTCCGAATGGGCTCCCGTTTCTCTCTTGCCAAATCCCTTTGCTAAAAGAGACTTCACAGAAAATCCCAGATCTACTCTATCACTTTCAGATCAATGGAGAATATGCAGTTCAGTTATTTTAATATAATTACCCTCATTTCTGTGGCTTAAGAAAAAGAATAGCTAGACATAGCGTAATCTAACTTAGAACTTTCACCTTAACTTGTGATTTCAATAGTTTATTTCTGGTTAATCTGACTTCCTTGTATTTTCTTATTCTTGTGGCGCCCCCACCTACCCACCCATTTGCTTTCATATCTCAGTCTGGACTGGGCTGTAGCTGTAGATTCTTTTGGAACAAAATAAAGTCTAAGTGCACACACAGGTGCCTGGTTATATATTATACATGGATAAGCTTCAGAAAAGGTAGAGATAAGGGATCAGAAAGTGCAGTGCCTGCATCAAATGGCTGCTTTTGCTAGCACCTGTCCCTCCACTGGTATCACTGGTGTCCTGTTTTGAATGGAGGCATTGTTTTCTCCTGTTAACTGTGTGTGCCTTTAGAAAAGAAAGCCCTACAAGCCATTGTCAGTCAAGAACATGTTAGTGTTGGACTTATAGAAGTCCATCAAAAGCATTCAGTAAGAGACACACAAGAATAAGCCATGTTCAGCCAAGCAGTGGTGCGTGCATTCGTAATCCCAGCATTCAAGAGGCTGAGGCAGGGTGATCTTGACTTCGAGGCCAGCATGGGCTACATAGCAAGTTCCAGGCTAGCTTGGGACCACAGAGTGAGAATCTCTCTTAAACTAAATAAGTAAATAAATAAATAAAAATGAAAGAATATACCACTTTCAAATGCAAAATCAATGTCAGTTTTAAAGTAATACAACAAAATAGCTTTGTAGGGTTATTTTCCGTGTGTGTATTTGTGTGTGTCTGTGTGCCCGTAAGTGTTCTGTGTGTGTAAGCATATATGTGAAAGACAGTCTCAAGTATTTTCCTCGGGCACCATCCACCTTGTTTGTGGAATCTCTCACTGACCTGGAACTCACCAAATAAGCTAATCTGGCTAGCCAGCAAGTCCCAGGGTTCAACCTGTCTCCACCTATCCACACACCCACTGTCTGACCTCCAATGCCATCTCACACCACCAAACACCTCCCTCTTCTTCCCAGCACTGGGATCCCAAGCTCATTCCACCATGCCCAGCTTTTTTTAACCTGGGTTCTGGGGATCAGACTCAAGTCCACGTGCTTGTTTGATAACCACTTTACCAACTAAGCTGTCTCTCCTGCCCCTCCTTTGAATTTTTAAGGCATCATTATGACAGCGTCTATGCTCTTCATTTAAGGATATTAAAAGGTCTGATGAACAAATGGACTCAAGGACATATTCTGCTGAAGGAAATACTAGCCATGTTTCTCTGTGTACTATGAATAGCACCAAGTCCCCCTGCATTGACAAGTCTGAGGAAGCCATCCACAGTAAAGAGGTTCTGGCTCTTCTACCAACAAGCTTGTCCACATGTTCTCCAACATCCACTCAATCCTATAAAATTTAGAATTGACTTACAGTAGACTAGTACTGTGGAACTAAGTTCACAAACTCACTCTAGCTAGCATCTTTGTTATCTCCACCCAGAGGCCCTTCTCTGGCCCCTGCAGTCTCTAGTGAGACTACGTTTGTGTCAAAGATTCTTTTGGAACAAAATAAAGTCTCCTGTGACACTAAGAAAGGTGCCTTCTAGTGAGACTACGTTTGTGTCAAAGATTCTTTTGGAACAAAATAAAGTCTCATGAGAACATTGCTATTCTCTTCTACAAGGCAAACCATGAGTTTAAACAGTGGCTTGAAGTATAGGTTATACCACCAGGTGTGGATCTGAGTTCAGAGGACACCCCCTGGGATTTCCAGGGTCTTGTGTTTCAGTACAAAGAACTGGACCAGCAACAAGTGGGTAGTGATAGAAACAGAGAAGGGAAAAAAGAGGCACTCCCAAGAATGGAAGTGGGCTAGAAATCTGGGCTGGTCCAGCACTAAAAAGCCCCAGGCCCCAGTGTCATGATCTGTTTTTGGTCATTTACGTAGTACCTGCCTTTGCTGGGAGATCTCTCCTGGCTTTTTCTTGCACATGTCTGTGTAGTTACATGCAGCCCTGGTGGAGAAGGATTTCTGGTTCATCTTGATGTCTCTTTCTCCTGCACTTCTGCCACAAAAGGGCCTGGATGCTCCCCCTGCCTGGAATCAGTCAAATCCCCAGGTGCACCTGAGGCCTCCAGGCCAAAAGCAGCCTGAAGAACCTAGCTCCCTTGGGCTCTTTCCTACTTCTAACCTCGGTCACCCTGCTTTACCCCTTACACCACTCAGTTCTCTCTTCAGCGTCCACCCCACTTGTCTCACTTCTCTATCACAATTTAGCTTCCCTTCTCTTAACATGCAGGACACCTACCCTGGGCCTCAAACCCACACTGAACGTTCTCTGCACTCCATAAGCCCCGTGCCATCTTCATCTCACTGCCCTCTTCCCTGAGCCAGCCCTCTCCCCTTCCCAGCCACTGTGTGCTGCTTTGCTTTGTTATCTCCACCCAGAGGCCCTTCTCTGGCCCCTGCAGTGGTCGCTTCAGTGTCAAGGCCTCCAGTCTCCAATCACCCAACAGCTGTCCTGGACTCATGGTTGCCTCCTGTTCTAGTCTGCCTTCAATTGCTGTGACAAAACATTCTGACCAATACCAACTTGGGGAGGAAAGGGTTTATTTGCCTTACATCTCCTGGGTCACAGTTCATCAAGAGGGAGCCCAAGGTAGGAACTCGAGGCAGAAACCTGGGGACCAGGGCTGAAGCACAGGCCATAGAGGAAAGCTGCTTACTGGGCTCCTCTGGCCCATGCTCAGCCTGCTTTCTTATCCAATACAGAACAACCTGCCCAGGGGTGGCACCACCCACAGTGGGCTGGGCCCTCCCACATCACTCAAAAATAAAGAAAATACCCCACAGACATGAGCATAGGCCAGTCCAGTGGAGACAATTCCACAGTTGAGGCTCCCTCTACCCAGGTGTGTCAAGTTGACAACTAAGGCTATCCAGCATACCTCCCAAACTGGAAAGCCTTTCTTTTCCTTGGGGCTAACAAATAACTCAGGTTAAAGCACCTTAGCTCTTCCCGCTGTCTTCTTGCCCACATTCTCCCTCTCATCTGTCAGTTATCTGCCCACTCCCCTTGATTTTGCACCCCAGCCTCTACTGCCCTTCTCTGGTGCTGCCAATTGGGGTGTTTCTTGTTTCGGATACAACTCATTTCCTTTTGCTATGCGATCCTCATAACATTCAGACTTAGACTTTTTTCCCCTTTCTATCAGTTTTCTTTTTGTAAAAGTTCATTTTAGCTGGGCGTGGTGGTGCATGCCTTTAATCCCAGCACTAGGGAGGCAGAGGCAGGTGAATCTCTGTGAGTTCAAGGCCGGCCTGGTCTGCATAGTGAGTTCCAGGACAGCTGGGACTACACGGAGACCCTGTCTCAAAAAAGACAGACACACAAAAAAGTTCATTTTAATAAGCACACAAAAATAATTTTCAAGCTGACAAGTTGACTCTACAGATAATGGTGCTTGCTGCCAAACCTGATGACCTTAGTTCAGTCTCCAGGACCCACACAGCAGAAACAAAGAATGGATTTACATGTTATTCTCTGATCTCCACACATAGGTAACACACACATCACTAAATAAATAAATAAATAAAATATTTTTTAAAACATGAAAAAATAAGACCCCCAAAACAAGAAGAAAAAGCAACCCATGGAACTAAACTCTAAAATGATCTACTTTGTAGAATTAGCAGACATTAAACATTTATGGTATCTGCAATTCATATGCCCATATGTTCCCAGAGGAAAGGAGAAGGGAGAGTACCAAAAAACATTTGAAGAAGTGATGGTAGAAAAATCTCCAATTTTGAGGAAAATCTTGAGACTGACTGAGCAAGTAAAAATGAGAATAAAACTACCAATCAATATCAAGAACGAAAGAGATAGGTCAGGCGAGGTGGTGCGCAGCTTTAATCCAGCACTCTGGAGGCAGAGGTAGGTGGATCTCTTTGAGATCCAGGCCTGTCTGGGCTACGTAATGAGTTCCAGGCCAGTCGGGGATATATCGTGAGACCTTGTCTCAAAAAAATAATTGGGGGTTGGGGAATTGGGTGGAGAGATGACTCAGCAGTTAAGAGCATTGGCTGCTCTTGCAGAGGACCTGGGTTTGGTTCCCAGCACCCACACGGCGGCTAAGAACTGTCTGTAACTCCAGTTCCAGAGGATTCAATACCCTCTTCTGACCTCTGTGCTATTGCAAGATACAGGTGCACTTGCAATCATGCAGGCAATACACTCATACACATAAAATAAAAAATAATAAGTAAAATATTTTTTAAAAAAAGAAAAGGAAGATGACATCAGTACAGATTCTACAAATGCTAAAAGAATAACAAAATAACCTTATGAGGACATTCCCACAAAAAATCTTGCAACTGAGATGAAATGGACAAATTCTTTGAAGGATAAACCTTCCAAAATCCATTCAAGAATAAATTAATTAGGGATCAGCAAGATGGTTCAGCAGATAAAGGAAGGTACTTGCCTCTAAGTTTGGCAACCTGCATTTGAACCCTGGGACTCATATGGTGAAAGGAAAGGATCAACTCCAAAGAGTTGTCCTCTGGCCTCTACCTCTACATGTGTATCACAGCACGTGCCCCTCCCTACATATGCACACACATACACACACACACACACAAAAATTTTTTTAATGATCCAATAGTAAATATTTGTGACTTTGAGGTTACTCAGTTATAATACCAAAAACATACTAATAGAAGAAAAAATAATAATAAATCAGACATCATCAAAATCAAGAACTTTGACATTTATAAAACAATTTTAAGAAAATGTAAAGGATAAGCATAATCTGAGAGAAAATATTTGTAAATCACACACCTGATGGACTTATACACATAAAATATTAGAAGTGAGAACAAAGATTTGAATAGAGATTTTTACCAAACAGTGAGGCTTGAGCAGGTAAAGCAGACTCAATGTCACTGACGTTAGAGAAGTGGAAAGGAAAAGCTTGGTGAGATAACTGGCATACTTGTTAGAAAAATGGCTGACTGTTGGTGATGATGTGGAGAAAAATGAATGCTACGTTTTTTTCTGGTGGCAGCAAAAAAATGGTCAAACTATTTTGGATAAAAATTTGGTAGTTTTTTTAAGTTAAATATGCATTTACTTTGAAATGCAGCCATTCCATTTCCATATGCATTTCCAAGAAAAATGAAAGCATGTATCCATATCAAGTTTTACAACTGAATGCTCAGACAGCTCTATTTTTAATAGCTCAAAAGTAGGACCCACCCAAATTTATATTAGTGGTGAGTAGAGTAATAAATTGAGGTAACCATACAATGCACTACTACCGAGCAATAAAAAAGAATGGAATGCTGGCTTATGAAACAACATAGGAAAATCTCGAAATAATTATATCAGGCAAAAGAAAGTAGGTGAAAAAGATTATAAAATGTATGATTCCATTCATATAAAATTCTGGAAAATATAAGCTAAAGAGACAGAAACATGTCTTTAGTTCCAGGGGGAGACAAAGGAGGTTAGGCGACTAAGAGGTGAAGGGAAAAGACTTACGAAAAGCAGGAGGAGGGTTGGAGAGATTAGCTCGGCGGTGAAGAGCAAGACTGCTTTTTCAAAGGACACGTTTGATTCCCCACATGCACATAAGGTGGCTTACAACTGAGTGTAACTCCAGCTCCAGGGAAATCTGACGACGTTTCTAGCCTCCTCAAGCACCTGCACTCACATACACGCGCGCGGGCGCACACACACACACACACACACACACACACACACATAATTTTAAAATATAGAAATAAATCTTTTTTTAAAACTCAGGAAGAACCCTCTTGGGAAATGGTTGAGTTTGTTATCATAACTGTGGTAATAATCTCATGAGGATCTAGCTATGTGCAAACTTCCAAAGTATACTATGTATGTGCAGTTCCTTGTATGCAAATTAGAGTTTGATAATACTCTAAAATAGATGAGATGAAATTTAAATTCTTTAGATGTTTAACTTTATAAAATTGTTTTTGTCTCTAAAGATAGTGCCTATTGTGTCTTTTTACATTGCATTATCTAAAAACATGATATAACCTGTAATATATTAGGTGGTATGACATCACTCATGATTTTACAGAAATTTTTTGTTTTATTTTTGTCTAACTTCTTTTTATTCTTTTATATCTTGATAATAGTATTTAAGTGATACCCATTTTTTTAACCTGTTATTATCCCAGAGGGTAAAGGACTCCTTTAAATCCTACCTTCTTAAACTGTGAGTCACCACACATGGGGTCCACAAACTGAACACTGGGAGCTTGTAAAAAAGTGAAAAACAAAAAAATACTGAAAACAGCAAAATGTTTCTGAATGCACAATGGCTAAACATTAATTCAAAATCAAGCACACATTGAACTTAAAGTGTTTCTGGCTGTGCTCAGCTGTATTGCAAGGGCAGCTTCACTGCAGCCTCGGTTCAGACATGCAACACACACACTGTGCATGATGCACACGGTCATACTATGTGACGTTATAAATGATGAAATTGGGACACTTTCAAAAGAAAAACTTTTACCTTCCACTCTTTTTGGTTTCCTTCCTGTAAACTATGTCCTAGATCAGAGCACGGTGTGAACCCAGTTTGGCAAAGAGTAAAGAAAACTTGGCCTATTCTGTATTCTTAGCTCTCTGAACATGTGAATGTGCACTTTTTTAATGACAGAAACTGAGTGAAATTCCAAAAACCGACGTTGTACAAATCATCACTTTGAAGTAAGATTCCTTTACGTTTGGGGCACACCATTATTAAAAGCAGGTGGTGAATTTTTTTCTAAAAGAAGTATAATTTTATCCTGCCATTTATTACATTTGATAGATTCCATTACTGTCCTGTTGGTCTTACCTTGTTTTTCTGGGGTCCATTGTGTCCTCAAAGCGAGGTTTTTAACCAGGTTGTTTTATTTATAGACAAGTCTTCCCGAAGTTTCTCTATTAAAGATACTTAAATTATAGTCATGTATATAGAGATTAGAAATGCATGTGAAAACGTCTCAATGTCAATTGCTTTGGAATGAATTCTTCTGTATGAAAAAAAA